TTTTTTTTTGAGATGATGTCTTGCTCTTGCTGCCTAGGCTGCTGTGCAATGGTGCAATCTGAGCTCACTACAACCTCCACCTCCTGGGTTCAAGTGATTCCCCTGCCTCAGCCTCCCAAGTAGCTGGGATTACAGGCACCCGCCACCACGCTTGGTTGCTTTTTGTATTTTTAGTAGAGATGGGGTTTTACCATGTTGGCCAGGCTGACCTTGAACTCCAGACCTCACGTGATCCACCTGCCTCAGCCTCCCAAAGTGCAGGGATAACAGGCATGAGCCACCACGCCCGGCCAACATTTTAAGTTGAAAGTGTAAGATAAATGATGACGAACCAAAAACGATATAGTCTTAACTAAAATTAAGGAAAAGCCACACATCTTATACATTTTTGTGTAAAAAAGTTTATGATTTATGCTGCAGAACCCCAGAAAAACTTAAGAAGTGGAGAGAACTAACTACCTATAAAAGTCTAACAATCAACACATAAAATTTAACTTATAGCTTCTTAGGATCCACTCTGAATTACAAATAGATCACCACCTCATGAAGATATATGCTTCCCCATGTTCAAAGCAGTATTATTCTATTCACAAGATGTGAAAATAACTTACGTGTCCACTGATGGATGAACAGATGAAGGAATTGACATATATAAATGAATACTATCCACCATTGAAAATAAAAGAGATCCTGCCATTTGCCACAACAGACATGAAAGTGGAGGACGTTATGCTATGTGAAATAAGGGAGACATGGGAAGAGAAATACTGAATGATCTTACTTATATATAGAATGTTAACAGAAAAAGTATAGAAATAGCATACAAAATGGTAGTTACCAGGGACTGTCAGGGAGAAAATGGGGAGATGCAGGTCAAAGGATACAAAGTTTCAGACACATAGAAAGAATAAGTCTAGAGATCCAATGTACAACATGAGGGCTATAGTTAATATCATTGTATTGTAGTTGAGTTTTTTAATAAGAGAGTAGATTTTTGGTGTTCTTGCCACACACACAAAGGTGTAACTATGTGAGATGATGAACATGTTAATTTGCTTGACTACAGTAACCATTTCATAATGTATATCAAAACCATAAATATATATAAAACACCTTAAATATACACAAAAACAACAGAAAAAAAATAGGCAAATATTAGATATTTGAGAAAAGCCTGTAAGATAAAAGATAACAGAAACAAAAAATAGGCAAATATTAGATATCTGAGAAAAGCCTATAAGATAAAAGACAGTAAACAAAGCAACCAAAGGAACTCAGAAGAGAGACTACATTGGGGAACCAACAAAACCTCAAAAGTCACCGTGTGTATTCTTATTGGGATGTGAGAAGCTATTCCGCATGATACAAGAATAGAATAATATGGAAGAATTATTATTATTATTATTATTAATTTTTTTTTCCCATTTATTTATTTTATTGTATTTTAGGTTTTGGGGTACATGTGAAGAACATGCAAAATTGTTGCATAGGAACACACATGGCAGTGTGATTTGCTGCCTTCCTCCCCATCACCTACATGTGGCATTTCTCCCCCTGCTATCCCCCCCCAGCTCCCCACCCCCCACCGTCCCTCCCCTATTTCCCCCCAACTGACCCCAGTGTGTAGTGCTCCCCTCCCTTTGTCCATGTGC